AGTGTCTTCATTATAGACCAATACTACACTGGACTGACATGGACCAATACTACACTGGACTGACATGGAGTGTCTTCATTATAGACCAGTAAATAAATTAATACGTATGGTGTCAACCATTGCTCCAAATTTAATTTTTGTATGTTTAATGTTCATAGTACAGACTAGTTTGAAGGAGATATTTAAAATTTTAATAGACATTTAGATCAAAAGAGTTATCATTCTGTTTTTTGTCAGCTGAATGTCAGTAGGGTGTTGACATTATTTTTTTTTTGTATACAATTAATTTAATTCATCACTAAGTTGATTTACAAAACTGAACAGCACATTGTATATATGACACTGGACTTTCAATATAAATAGTATTGAACTAGACAAAGAATAATTGCAAAATTTTATCTAAGGACAGTTAATAAATTATTGTGTAATGCATTTTAAATATGAAAATAATATTTAGAAGAATTAGACAAAATTATGCATAATTTTGACAGAAATCTTATTGACAAAATAGTCATTAATTTATATTTTGAGTAAGTGTTTTTTTCAAATTTCATCTCTTCTTTTTTTCACTTTATGATTCTTTCAATATAAATTGTTTACGAGATACAATTAGATTGTAAAAAATAAATTTCAGCAAATAATATGTATGTTTTGATCTGAAATCACTCTTTTTATATAATCAGTTTAAAAGTATTAAAGATGAAAATAACTTTATTTCAGATTTGTTATTTTTGTGTTAAAGATAAACTGCCAAACTAGAATACCACAAAAATTAAAAGTCACTTAAAAATGTAAGACAACTTTCAGTATTGTTGCTGAATTTGTGGGTAGCTTAGAGATATACATGTAATCTTATTCCACTGTAACTGTTTCACAATCAGATTTTATTTGCAAGATTTTAAGAACAGATTTTTCCATATTTTTGATACTCCAATGCTAAGTAGACCTAACAGATATAATGTGATTTTGCTTACCATTTTAAATAAATGTTTTCAATTAATGGTGAATAGAAACAAATAATAATCACAACTGTATGCATTGAGGAAGGTGAAAACATGGTTAAAATTTTACTCGGCTACTCAGGACATTTTATAAAAATACAAGAATTCCTTAATCTTTTCACCACCAATTGTCTCTTTTTATCCCAAATTCACAAATAATCCGGTTTATAGTCAGCACTTTCCTTCAGAAGATTAGGACAAAAATAGTCAATTTTTTTTAGTAAAAACTGAAAATTGACTCAAATTTGGTCTGCTAGCTTCAAGATTCGGGTTCATTTCAAGAAATATTGAAGAATATTAGAAAAAAGTGCAGACAAATTTGGGTGAGAAAGTCTGGTGGTGAAAAGCAAAAATTCATAAGATATATATTAATAAGCTTCACTGTACTCAATATAAAATCAAAATCTATAACATCATCGATAAATTATGAATGTAACATAATTTTTGAAGTATATTTCTAAATATCAACGGAATGAATAGGCATCTCTTGAGAGAGAGAAGAACTGAAGTGAACAAATTTCTGAAATGTAAAAATGACATTCATCAAGAATAAAGTGTTTGGACTTTGATACAAAGAATTATTTCCCGGCTACATGCTATGCTGTGTCAATAAATATAAAGTAACATATCTCCATATTTTAGGGTCATGTATACGTGCTAACATTCATGTATTTAACATGACCTGTAGATGAACTTTAACCTACGACCTCCCATAATGACCCAGAGTGTATATAACAAAATAAATGATAATTTTTTTTATATTTAAAACAATTATTTTGTTTTTATCATTCAAGTTTTATGTGATTAGAAGCTGAATAAATAAATTATACAAATCAAGTATATTTATCTATTGTATTCTGATTGGCTCTTTGGCACATTGCATTATGGGATATGTGGGAGATGCATTTCTTTAAACATGAATACAAACCTGTGCATAAAAATCTCTTTCTTCTTCTATCTGAGCGTCTAGGAACTCCTTTCTCTTGAAATGTCGCTGTGGAATGTGCAGATAGTTCGATACGTCTCTGCAGCAAATAATCACCAAATAATTCACACAAAATTTTCAAAAAATAAAAATTTAAATAAAAGGTAACACAATGAAATTACTAGTAGATCATTCACAGGACGGAAATTCAGATTTCCATGATTTCTACATTATGGTTTTGTTTGCTCATAAAACAAAAACAAGCAGCCTATCGGCTGAGATAGCTCCGCTGTTAGCAAGGCACATTTCAATTAAAGAACTGAAGACATCATTAGAAAATG